AAGACATTCAATCATAATCATTATTTAAGTGGAATCCTACTTCAATGATAATTGTGATTGGATATTTTAATAATTTTAATGTTAGAACATTCTGATTTTTACTTTTTTTAAAAACTAATTAAGAATAATAATTTTATAATTTTAAATAAAATACTGTGTGAAAAAGATTTATGTGAAACATTGTCAAACAAAGCTCAAGTCTCTTCTTAGGATCAACCACTAGAAATCAAGATGATTTCAGAACAGCACATAATAACTCTTGTTAAATCCTATATTGTGCCATGTAGAAGGAGATAACTAACAAGATGGCAAGAGGGCTATATTCAGAAACAGCAGTATACATGGGAAAATAAAATTCAAATAATGAAAAAATAATCAGAATAGTCATCTCAATGAAAAAATAATAATAAATAGCCCGTTAGTTGGTTTCATGAATGGCCATTCATTCGTCAAGTTGTTTAGGTTACCATCTGAATTCTCCTCAGAATAAGGCAACACTCTTCTCTTTCATGTCCATCTTTCCCAGACAGAGAAATAAGCTGTACAAAAGGAATCAGGAAGATCACTGAAATGGTGTCACATTGAGAATGAGGATCTGCTTAGAGTTCTAAAGTACAAAATTCACATTTTTATTTTTTTTTTCCTTTTTCTATATATTTGCTAAAAATGTTAACCATCAGATGATTATTATTGGTTATTGAAAGAACTCTCTATCCTAATTATTGCAGGTGGATGCAATACACGACCAGACAATGTGCCCAGAATCCTTAGACTCAGTCCTTAAAACGTATTTGCTAGACATTAAGAGGTTAGTTATCTGTATTCAAATAAATTCCAGAAAACAAGCAGTGGGATACAAGGAACCAACCTGATGAGCAACCTGAGCCATTCACTGACTGTCCCTAGTAATTTCATTCATCAAGCTAGATTTCACTGTCTCCTGTGCATTGTTTTATTTCTCACCTTCCCTCTTCTTTGAACTGCTGATTTCAGCAGGAGTCTTTTCATCAGAGTCACTAAAATATTACTTCTTGTGCTTCCTTTGAAAGGTGTATTTGAGAAGCCTATCATTGGCTGCCTTAGTGGGAGATGTATCAGTTTCTTCTGACACTTTGGCTGCTTTCAAATTAGAAGGGGCCAATGGTACACTGACCATCTCTGAGCTCAATTCAGAAGACAGAAGGGTTGAAATCACTCTAGCATCACCTTCTTGTCTTACCAACATGGACTCGTCTCTCAGTTTTATGTCCTCATCTGCTACATTCTGGACAAGTCTATACTTAGTGCCTTGACACTCACAGTGATATTTTTTGACCCTGATATGGGATTCATATCACTTTTAATTAATGTTAAGCCAGGATCCAAACGAGACAATGGCTTTATCTTGGCCTCACTTTCAGCTATCCTCAATTGATTTCCACCAGATTTAACATTTACAGAGACTGAATTTGTAGAGGTTCCACAACGGGTTTCATCAAGCTGACATAGATGAGACTTGAATGAGTTAGCAATGGCATCTCTGCTTTTCAGCTTCAAGTATCCTTTCCTTTTCTGAATCAACACGCTTTCATCTTTACAGCAGTTGCTATTATGCTGCAACTCTTCTTCTCATCCTCTAGAACCTTTTGACATAGATGATACAGTCTGCAAACAATCATCAGCTTTAACATTTCTGTTGCTGGGATATCCTCTGGAACAGGAAAGAAGAGAAGATGATTGAGAAGGTTTGATGAGCTGACCAGCGTGAAACTTACACGATTTAGATTTGGCTCTTCCAAATTGAGTCTTTCTTCTTCTCGATGTACGGCTTTTGACAGGTTTCTTTACCTTTTCCCTAGGAAAGTTCATCATCCTCATGCTTTTGGTCCTTGGAGAGGATATCATACATTTTTCTTCATGCTCAGCACTAGTTTCCATGATCAATTCATTCTTTAAGAGGGCATGGAGATCCTCAACACCTCCAGAGGGAGGCAATCTTTCATCCAGCAACTTTCTTTTGAGAGCACGAATTTTCTGTGTACATCCATTTCTACAAAGGTCAGGCTCCTTGGTTCTCATTAGCACAGTGGTTATGTCAGAATGGTGAGCAAAATAGCTCTCCAAACGAGAAGCATTTGATTGGTCATCCGGTTTTAACATGTTGCAGCATTTATTATCCAAATATTTCTGATTCATTGCATCATTCCTCAAATCAGAATTTGTTACGGTTACAAATCCTGGATTCAACAGAGAATCATCAGCGGGTATAAGCATTGAATCCAACAGAGAAGATGCATCCTCTGTTGGGATTTGTCCATTCAAAAGCTGGATTTGATTTTTCTTCACTTTTTCCAATTTATCCTGCACGTATCTCAACTCCGTTCTAAGATCTGTCATAATATCCTCCTCCTCATAGCTTCAAGTTCATCAATCTTTTTCCGCTGATTGAAGGACGTTTTATCTGCTTCAATTGTCTGTAAAGGAGGGAACACTGTTAATACTGCACATAAAGAAAAGTGAAATGCCTAGTCTTCTTCTAAAATATTAATCCTAAATAAAATTTTAATAGCCTTGCATGAAATTTGTTTTTATTGAATGAATACAATAATTATCCGTCCAAAAGAAATATGACACACAAGGCTGGAAGCAGCTCTAAAACTATACAAGACCATGCTATAACCATAGAAATGATTTATTCTCCAAAAGATTACAAGAAATACCCCATGAGATGCAGAGTTACTTACCAACAAAAATAAGTCCGCGATTAGAAATAAAGAATGTTATTCAGCCATTCAGGTAGCTAAAACGTCTCATACAAGTATATACATGCACTTATGCAATTAACAAAAAGAAACATTAGTATGGGAAAGAAAGGACTTCTGTATTGATGGAATGAGGCACTGTTAGCACCGAGAGTAATGTTACCTTATACCCTTCTTAATCATTGAAAAGAGAAAAGGAAGGGGTGTTTTTTTTTGGGTGGGCGGGGGGCGGGGAGGGAGGAGCCAAAAACTTTTTGGGAAGTCCTTTCCTAGCTTTTGAGTTAAAAAAATGCATTGTTCCACTCTAAAAAGCAAGAACAGCAGCTTACTCAGACGTTTTCAACTTCCAATTGCACTTTTAAACAACCAGTTAAGCATTAATCTGAAATTTTTAAGACAACATTTCAAGACCTCAAATTAGAATGCAACATTGTCCAATAAGGAAGGAGCTAACGTCACAAAAGTATATCTCCATTCCATTGTTCTCCTATCCTAATTGCTTCAATCAAGAAACCTAATTGATTCCCATAATTGGAAACAAACTTCAGATATACCCCTCCAATTGCAGAAAGCACTGAGTAGTAATGCTACAGAAAAAAAAAAAAAAATCAAAATCTCATTTTTCTCTTCACCCTGCAAAAAATTCAAAGATCAAAACTTTTCCATTCGGGGCGTGTTATGGAAATTTCAAAAAAAAAAAAAAAAAAA